GCAGGATGCAAGACAATACAAGTTAGGGTTAGTGTAGCAGGGCAGACACTCAAAGTGTAATCAAGTTCAAAGTTTTTTTTTTAACACTATGATGCTGTAAGACTAAAACTAAAACAAACACATAAATTCTCAGCTATAGTTGGCCCCTTGGCTCTAACTTTTCAATTTCTAATTAAGAGTTTTAATCCAACCAGAATTTATTTTTGTGTATGGCATGAGGCTGGGATCAAACTTTATTTTCTCCATGTGGGGATTCCATTGTCCCAACATCTTTATTGTATAGTTCATATTTTATTTTACTGATTTAAAATTTTGTATGTATAGCATACTAAATTTGCACACATACATGGGGATGTTTTTGACTCTTCTGATATATTAACCCTTTTCCCGTTCAGAAAAAAGAAAGTACAGTTCAATACCAGCACTCATTTAATTTTACATAAACACGCTCTTTGAGCCTGAAGCAAATCTCATTTTCAACGTGAAAATAAAATACAAAAAAAAAAAAAAAATTTTAAAACCTGTTTTTGGAGTTATTTGTAAACAGACCTAATATCAGAATCATCTGAATTATCAGAATTGTGTATTTCAGAAAAATCAGATTCATCAAATGAATCTTTGACCAACAACTGTTCGAGAACAATGTTAACATTACGCATAGGAATGCTGTTTTCTAGGGTTTGACATTTTCAGTGATCAAGAATTACTATATTTTGTAAATGGAAATACAACTACTAAAAACAGTATGCCATAAATAGAATGATGCCTTTTTTTTCTAAAGTTGATATACTAGAGTGATGCAAAAATAATCATAAAAGACAGATATTTCTGGCAAAGTTTATCTTGGGGTAAATGCTGCAGCCTCAAGCACTACTGGAAAGTATTCTCAGGGCAAATGAGAAAAGGGTTAACTTATCTCATTGGGCACCAATACCTTGGTTTTTAATTATTGTAAATTTATGATACTTGATACCCAATATATATGCATTCCTCTTCTTACACCCTTTTCTTCTTTTTCAAAAGTGTCTTGGTTTTATCAAGAAAATTTGGATCAAACGAGTGAAACAGACAAGGAAGGCTTTATTCAAGGGTATTGCAATAGGGTCAAGCCAATCACAAAGGGGATAAAGAGTGAATTTAACTCCTCTGAAACAAAACAAAGAGAGATTTTAAGCCCTAGGGTGAGCCTGTGAAAAAGTACTGAAGGGCATTACGGGAAGAATGGTCAACGTGAGTAGGCCATCTCTGTTTGCTAATTGTTACTTATCAAAGTTAGGCTCCCACCCTCTGACAGAGCTAGAAAATAGAGGCCTTATCTTTCTTGATAATTACATTTCAAAAGTATGGCTTCCAGGTTCTTAAGAAAGGCATTCCTGGGCTGTGAAACTGGCAAGAAGCTGGTAGATTTATATCTCAGAAGTGTAGAGTAAGAATGCTGTTGTGTTTTTAAAAGTAAATGCTCTAAGAATGGGAAGATCAGAGACCTATAGTCAGAAAAATATCTGTCTAAACTTTAGTCAAGCTGACGGGAATATTAAGGCTGCCTTGGTCAGTTGCTTTCTGCATACTTTCTCCCACATGAACATTAAAATAGGCTAGTTAAGATGCAAAAATATCATGTTGAAATTTTTAAAAATAATTTCAACTTTTATTTTAGATTCGGGAGGTAGATACGCAGGTTTGTTACATGTGTACATCGCATGATGCTAAGGTTTGGGGTAGGGTTGATTCCCAACATAGTGAGCATAGCACCCAATAGTTTCCCAGTCCTTATCTCCCTCCCTCCATACTCTAGTAGTCCCCAGTTTCTATTGTTGCCATGGCTATGTCTGTGATTACCCAGTGGTTAGCTCCCATTTACAGGTATGAACCTGCAATATTTGCTTTTCTGTTCCTGCATTAATTTGCTTGGAATAATGGCCTCTAGCTGCATCCATGTGGCTGCAAAGAACATTCTTTCATTTGTTTTTATGGCTACATAGAATTTCATGGTGTATATGTACCACATTTTCTTTATTCAGTCTACCATTGATGGGCATATAGGTTGATTCCATGTCTTTGCTATTATGGATAGTACTGTGATGAATATAGATGTGCATGTGTCTTTTCAGTATAATGATATATTTTCCTTTGAATATACACCCAGTAATAGGATTGCTGGATTAAATTATCATTTCTATTTCAAGTTTGCAGATAAATCTCCAAAATATTTTCCACAGTGACTGAACAAATTTATATTCCCAGTGCATAAGTTTTCACTTTTATCTAGCATAAATTGTTTTTTGTTTGTTTGTTTATTTAATTTTTAGTAATAGTCATTCTGACTGGTATTACGTGGTATCTCATTGTGGTTTTAATTTGCATTTCTTTGACGATTAGTGATGTTGAGCATTTTTTCATATGTTTATTGGTCATTTATATGTTTTCTTTTGAGAAGTCTCTGTTCATGTCTTTTGCCCACTTTTCAATGAGGTTGTTTGTTTTATGCTTGTTGAATTAAGTTTCTCATAGATTCTGAGTATTAGATCTTTATTGAATGTATAGCTTGTGAATATTTTCTCGCATACTGTAGGTTTTTGTTTACTCTGTTGATAGTCTCTTTTGTTGTGCAGAAACTCTTTAGTTTAATTAAGTCTCACTTGCAAATCCTTGTTTTTGTTATAATTGCTTTTGAGAACTTAGACATAAATTCTTTCCCAAAACTGATATTCAGAATGATGTTTCCTAGGTTTTCTTCTAGGATTCTGTATTAGTCCATTCTCACACTGCTATAAGGACATACGAGAGACTGGATAATTTAGTAAGGGAAGAGGTTTAATTGACTCACAGTTCCTCAGGGCTGGGTAGGCCTCAGGAAACTTACAATCGTGGCAGAAGGGTAAGCAAACATGTCCTTCTTCACATGGCAGCAGCAGCAGCAAGGAGAAGGGCAGAGCAAAAGGGGAAAAGCCCCTTATTAAACCATCATCTTGCAAGGACTCATTCACTATCACTAGAACTGCATGGGGGAAACTGCCCCCATGATTCAATTATCTCCATCTGGTCCCTCCCACAACATGTAGAAACTGCAATTCAAGATGAGATTTGAGTGTGGACACAGCCAAACCATATCAGGTTCTCAGAGGTTGAGGTCTCACACTTAAATCTTTAATCCATCTTGAGTTAATTTTTGTATATGGTGAAAAGTAGAAGTACAGTTTCATTTTCTGCATATAGCCAGCCAACTATCCAGCATCATTTATTGAATAAGGAATCCTATCTTCATTGCTTATTTTTCTTGACTTTGTTGAAGATCAGATGGCTGTAGGTGTGCAGCTTTATTTCTGGGTTCTCTATTCTTTTCCATTGGTCTACATGTCTGTTTTTGTACCAGTACCATGCTGTTTTTGTACCAGTACCATGCTGTTTTGGTTGCCTTAGCCTTATAGTATAATTTAAAGTTGGGTAATGTAATGCCTTCAACTTTGTTCTTTTTGCTTAGGATTGCTTTGGCTAATCAGGCTCTTTTCTAGTTCCATATGAATTTTACAGTTGTTTTTTCTACCTGTGAAATATGACATTGGTAGTTTGATAGGAATAGGAATAGCATTGAATCTATAGATTGCTTTGGGCAGTATGGACATTATAATGTTATTGATTCTTCCAGTCCTTGAGCGTAAAATGTTTTTCCATTTGTTTGTTTCATCTATGATTTCTTTCAGCAATGTTTTGTAGTTATGTATTCTGACACTTTACTGAAGTCATTAATGAAATGTAAGAGCTGTTTGGTGGAGTCTTTAGGGTTTTCTGTATAGAATCATATAATCAGCAGAGAGAGAAAGTCTGGCTTCCTCTCTTCCTATTTGAATGCCTTTTATTTTTTCCATTGCCTGATTGCTCTGGCTAGGACTTCCAGTACTGTGTTGAATAGGAGTGGTGCGAACGGGTATCCTTGTCTTGTTCTATTTCTTAAGAGTACACACTTCTAACTTGTGCATGTTCAGTACGATGTTGGTTTTAGGTTTGTCATAGATGACTCATCATTTTGAGGTATATTTCTTCAATATCTAGTTTGTTGAGTTTCTATCATAAAGAAATTTTGGATTTTATTGAAAGCTTTATGAGCATCTATTTAGATGATCATATGGTTTTAAAAATTATGTTTATGTGATGAATTACATTAATTGATTTGCATATATTCAATCAAGTTTGCTTTCAAGTAATGAAGCCTACTCCTCCTCAGTTTTGTGGAATAGTTTCAGTAGAATTGGTGCCAGCTCTTCTTTGTATGTCTATCTGATCTGGCTTTTTTGTTTGTTTGGTAAGTTTTTCATTAATGACTCAATTTTAGAACTTGATACTAGTTTTTTCAGAGTTTCAATTTCTTCTTGATTTAATCTTAAGTTGTCTGTTTCCAGGAAGTTATCCATTTTTTCTAGTTTTTCTAGTTTGTGTGCATAGAGATTATCCTCAGTCTCTGAAGATCATTTGCATTTCTGTGGGATTATTTGTAATATCACCTTTGTTATTTCTGATTGTGCTTATTTGGATCTTCTCTCTTTTTTTATTTGTTAGTTTAGCTGGTGGCCTATTGATTGTGGTTACCTTTTCAAATGACCAACTTTTCGTTTCATTGATGCCGTGCATAGATTTTTGGGTCTCAATTTCATTCAGCTCAGCTCTGGTTTTAACTATTTCTTTACATCTACTAACTTTAGGGTTAGTTTGCTTTTGCTTTTCTATTTCCTCTAAGTGTGATATTAGATCATTAATTTGAGATTCTTTCTACTTTTTGGAGTTCTGATTAGAATTCTTAAATTGGTAAGTTATTTAGAACAAAATATATATTTTTTTTTCATGAAGGAGAACAGTCTTTCCATTTTTTCAAGTCTTCTTTTGTATTTTTCAGTAAATTTTGATGATTCTTTTTATTGGTCTCTTATAAAATTCTAATAAAATTTGTTCCTAGACAATTAGAAATGGCATATTTTCACTGTATTTTCCAAAAGATTATTCTGATGCATTAAAAAGTTATTTATTTTTCATGCTACTTTTACTAAATCTCACTATTTCTAAACATTTTCATTAATTTTCTTCAATTTTCCAGGAAGCTACTCACTCCGGAAAATAATGGCATGATGACATTTCATTCCAATGCTGTGTCCATTATTTTATAGATGAACAAGGAATTAAGAAAAAGAGAAATTAATCTTGTCTATTTCTAGTACATGATAGATCTGGAGTTTTAAGTATAATTTTTGTAATTCTACAGTGTTTCTTTTATGTATACTGACATTCAACTGTTTTTTAGACTTTATTTTCCAGATATATTTATCAGTTCCCTAAGTTTTTAATTCATTGTGTATATTAAATGTCATCAATTTATGCAGCTCATTAAAAAAAATCTTTTCAAAGCATATATGTTTTTCAATAAATCAATATAATTAAATAGAAACAAAAACAAGAGACATATAGTTGTTAAGTCCCTGAGGCATAGATTAATCCTACAATTCTAATATTTTTGATTCATTCAAGGAGTCACATGGTTTATTGGGCATATTGTTAAGCATTTGATGATTGATTAATGCGTTGTCTTCTTTTCTTTCCCCAATCTACTGCCAGATTCTGGAGAACTTGTGGAAGTTATAAATACACATCAAGTTACTATGTTGCTCTATAATCTGAGTTATGGAATGATTGTACAGAAATATGCAGCTTGTCTTCATGTTTCTCTAATATTTTTTTGTTGGCTAGTTGTCAAGATGACAAATATGCTTCAACTATAGTCTTATGCACTAAGTATAATGGAAATGTACATCTGCACTGAATTTTCCTTTTTTCTTTGTTTTTAAAGTGCTGAGTTCAGATACAAATTTTGGATTGAAATCAAATCTGGGAAACTTTGGCAACATTGCTGAAATGATATTCCAATATATTATCCTTTAATGAAACAAGTATAGTGGGATGATTGATTTATGAAAATTTTTTTTGCATCATTACTTGACATATACAAAGAGTTTTTTATACTCAGTATTTTGAAAAATCCATTTTATTTTTAATATGCTTATTTTGAAATATGATATTTTACTTGGTGAGACTATTAAATCCTACAAAAGTATTTATACATAATCCTTCTGAAATCCAGGAATATGTTGTCAGATATTTTATTATATTCTCTAAATATTACATTTAACTATAATGTACTTCCTTTTGCCTGACTGCCCCCTCTGTAATGAACAAAGCTGAGTTTTCTATTATCCAATCTAACCTAAATTGATGTGGCCATAATCATTTTTTAAAATATATCTTAAAAATGTCTTCCAGACTACAAAATTTCTTTATCATAGAAATGTTTATATTGCAACTTAGAGTTTAATTTTTAAACTATTCTTTAGTTTTAAATGGATGTTATTCCAAGGATAGAATTACAAGAGCTATCGCTTTATCCAGCCTCTTCCTGATGTGGTTGGCATCTTTAATATTAACCATGTGCCTGGGATGAGGCTCTAAAATGTAATGCTGCTGTTTGGTAAGGACAAGCTCATTCTATTTTTGGCATCTGCTGAGTATCCCTTGTCTCAGACTACTCATGATATGAATATTAACATTAACAGAATAATTGAAACCATTAGCACTCTATACCCATTTGGGTTTTGATCCTGTTTACCTTCAAATGTTAGGTAAGCCTAGAAAAGGAAAGAGAAGACTAGAACCAAGGGATCTGTTTTTGTGCAACATTTGGGAACTGATTTGGTTCATTCCTTGAAGTCAAGACATGTTGGTTAATGGATACAAAAATACAGTCATGTAGAAGGAAAAATTTCTAGTATTTGATAATACAGTAGGGATATTATAGTTAATAATTTATTATGTATTTCAAGATAGCTAGAAGAGATGAAGAATGTGTGGGAAGTGGCAGAGACATGTTGGAACCCAAGTTTGATTCCAAGTCCTGTCCTCTCTTTTCCTATGCCACACCAGGCTTTGACTACTTGTTCTTCTCTGCAATTGAACATCCAGCAGGTGACTTTCTTCCTTTTTCTAAATATAAAATAAAACAAAAATGTATGTGAGTTATTTAAAAGAAAAAGCATATGTAAATCTATGTCTGTCATATAAAGATATAGCTTAGCATCATCCAAAAACCTTGTCTAAGAATGTTTTCAATTCTGGCAGTCTGAGTCACTGCCAGGAATAAAAATATGAATTTCAGGCTTGATTTGTATGGGCGTCACAATATGGCCTTATGATCATATTAATGGATGATGGCAAAACAGACATTTCAGTTCATTCTGTGTAGAATCAGTCACGTTCCTAAAGGGTCAATAAAGTCTTTTGTTCTAGTCAATAGTTTTCAAAGATTCCCAAACATTTCACCTTTAACTGTATTTTCTGAAAACATAAAATTTCTGTTTATGTTAAGTAAATGAATGTCCTACACATTTATTTTTTCCATAAACTATCCATCAAATTTTACCTTAAAAGCTGGTAACTTTCCTCTCAACTAAAATGTACTTAGAGTATTTTTGAGCATAGATAACCCAGACTGCATAAACAGATAAGACAATCTGTGCAGCTCTCTTGGGAAGATAATTTTATTACTTAGTAACCATCTGGATTGCATCATTGTTGAGCTGAATGGACATCAATATGTTTTTCTCAATTCTCACAAAGTTTTTTTACAGGAACAAACATCATAAGGGTTGTAGGCTGATTATTTTGCATCATTTCAAGGTCAGTGTTGCTTTGCACATCAAGACACAGCATCATGAGTCACTCATATATTCTCCAGTCATTTAACTTTATTTCCCAAATATGCTGATGATTCTTGTAGTCATAGTATGTCAGGGATTGTATTTCTTCACCATTTATACTTTTGAATCACATCTAAGATTTAATGTAGTATTTGCTTTCCTTATAGTCTTATGCTGATTTGTCAAAGATCAGCTTTGTGAAAAATGCATATATTTGATTGTTAGTTGAATTTTAGACTCATAGCTGCAGGGCAGTTGACTGTATTTGTGTGAGCAGAGGGATGTGTATATTTTGAAATATGAAAGTCTGTGGTACACTTTATTTAATGTTTCACTTTTTCTCTTATGTTTTGTCATATATTACAGAATGATATCAGAACACATTCTAACTTCTCCAAATAAGGGTAGACCAAACAAATCATTTGTTGTCAAGACTGGAAGAAGTTTATTAAAAGGGATAGGTTTATTGATTTAAGTTTATGTTCCTATGAAAGCAACTATTTAATTCAAAAATTGCCTTTTCCCCTTAGCAAACACTTTCTGCTTGTCTCTAATTTTTAACAAGTGTTCCAACCATTTTATGACAGTCATTGAACTACAGGGCACTAGTTCAGTGAAGCATTTTATGTGATAATGCTACCTTTTGAAAATAAGCCTTTCTCTCTTTTTAAAAAAAACCTTTGATCTTTACCAAGGTAACAAATACATTATGAGAGTAAAATACTATATAAAATAGTTATGCCATTCCATTGCCTTTTGACATCTTTGTTTACAGATGAATGCTAACAGAAAAGAGAATTCTGTTTCTTGTCCCATAAGAGAAAAAGATATATTGTCATCAGACTCCTAAGATTACAAATGAGGCATTAGTTTCTT